ATAAAAATAACCATGCTGGCACATACGATTTTTTGCCCTCAAGCACGTAAGATCAAGAATGTTAGATAAATTATATGGAAAACTACTCATCAAATTCATTGGAGATGGACATCGGTCAATTATAGAATTTCATACACGCTGAGAAAATCATAATGAGAATGACCGTAGTCGAAAAGGAAAGATTTTATATTTAACCATTCAATGGAAACTTGAATAGAAATTATCATGTTTCACGTATAAATTGAGAAACGGCTGAATGAAAACGATTATGCTAACCCTGTAATTTTTAATGGAAACATTAATCTTCGATTTTGGAGATAATTTCAACACAATGACTCTTGTCCCGTACTAAAATTCAAGATTTTTTTTTGCCTTGTATAGTCATATTTAGTGTCGGTTCGTCCTCTATGCCTATAGAAGGGGAAATAATACAAGATACATTAGATTCTTCTATAGCAAATAATTTTGAGATTTAAAATACGAGTCACAAGAAAAAAGGCATGGGACTCGTGAGACTTCTTCATCGTATAAATTTCAAGACATGGGATACGAGTCACGACCCATTGTGTCTCATTAAACTTCTTTATTGCGGAAATTTTACGATAAGAGATACCAGTCACGAGACACAAGGCATCAAACCCCTTAATTAGATCGATTTTGATATACTAACTTATAAGCCAGACCGAGCCTTGCAGTCCGTGAAACTGTAGCTCATAATGATTCCGATTTGCGACTTACGAGTAACGGGTTACGGGTTACGACTTACGAATTACGAGTTACGAGTTACGGGTTCCAAGTTACGAATCACGAGTTACGAGTCACAAGCCACGCAGTCCAAAAACGTTCACCTCATAAAGATTGCGAGTTACGAGTTACGAGTTACGAGTCAAGAGCTATGAGCCACGAGGCACAAGCTGCAAACCTGTAGTCCAAGAACCTCACCTTATAACACTTTCAGATTACGACTCACGACCCACGACGCATTCGTTGCTATGTCAAGAAAAATTTGGTATCACGTTTGCCACTACCCTCTTCTATAAAATCAATGGCTTTATTCACTGGCGTCAGAGCAATCAATAAGACGAGCAAGTCCACGTCCGTACCAACCACCACAACTCGTTTATGACATTGGAGCTGTTCAATAGCGGTCATCGGAATCAATCAATCTGTATCCTCAGGTGCTTCGATGACTGCTATTCCAATAGTGGTGAGTTTACTCTTCAAAAACTCAATGAATCAGTGTATGGATGAATTCAAGGCAGCAGTCCAACTCACGGTAGCAATCCAATATGGATTGGATTCAAGGTAGCAGGCATATGTATAACGAAGATGATTTCTGTTGCTGCTTTAATAGCCATGCGTCAGGATCTATCGTAAAACTTCATACTGATATCGCCCTCTTTGTTGCCATCGAATTGGATTATGGCATCAGCACAGTAGTGTCTCAGAATGTAATCTGTAGAGGCCAGCAAATTTTATGGAGTAAAAAGCCTCCATCGACAACGATTCTGCTAGTCTTCAAGTAAATCTCATTCCTTGGCATAAACGTGAATGCACTGTAAAGTTCAGTCTTCTTGGATTTTCTCACAACTCCATTGTTGTCGAACATTGACAAAAAGAAGGGAGCTAACACATAGTGTAAAGACTTGGAAGCTAGCTCACTACCATCTTTGACGACTGCTGTGATCGGCTGGAAAAATAGAGCTGTGTTGACAGCCAGAATCTCGTCATTAATCATGACCCCACGTTTTGCAGTTCCTAGTGACTTCATACGCATTGTACGTTTCAGTTTAATTTCTCCAGCATTCTGCCCATCAATGGTCCTCATCGCATTAAATCCTACTTCGATTCCATGATCATAGTTGACCTGATCTCCCCCATACAATCCATCAGCGATAGATCGAATTTTATGCGACTGAGCTGCTGCAGAGGGATTATGTACTGAAAGCCACTCCACAAATCGGTGATAATCCTGGTCATATCGACTCATGCTGGTAGCTGTCTAATAAGTGTGCTGTTTAACAATGGTTTCTCTTACCCCGCAAAATGGTCCGAAGGCCTCCATGATTTCATAGGCAACTGGTGTCAGTTGCCTATGAAGTAAAAAAAAAAACAATCATTATATTTTACTGAAAAGAATTATTATTATTTCAAATAATTGATTTTTTTCAGTTTTATAACTATAGCATTTTATTATTATTATTATCATTATTATTGTTATTATTACAGGTATATATATATGCTACTGTCTATCGCCACCGTCCTCCATGACTTCATAGGCAACTGAGGTCATCTCCATTGTTAGCACACTGGAGATGGAGCTAACAATTGCCCAAGCGCTCAGCTTCGATCAATTGCATGACGACAGCGAAATATTGCAGCTAGAGCCTGCTTGTGTGTCCCACTTGTCCAAGTGTCTGCATGACTTCCAGAATTTGAATAGTGATTTGCTGTAGCTCAGGATCCTCATTGATTTGTTGCAATGTAGGTGAGTGGACAGGAAAATCCCGCAGAAATTTCTGCACATAGTCTTGGTTTTTTTGTTTGAAAACACTGATTCTTCGATAATCGATTTTTTTAAAAACATCGCCCATCCTTAGTAACTCCCCCAAAAAAAATAACTATTGGAAGAAATAGTGCAACGAGATTTTCTCGTTACGGGTTGAAATCCCCTCAAACAGAGATTTGCACTCTTAAAGTTATTATAAAAGGGATAGGAAGAGATATCTAGAGGCGGTTGAAAGAGCCTGGAAGTCTGGAGGTCGTTACTAGAATTTCGCTAGTTTGAAATTCGCCCAGCTTGTGTTAGGGAAAATGGACCGATGTACAGTCTGTCCAACTGGGCGATTCTAAAAGCCATGTCGGGGTAGACTAGGGACCAACGGCCAGGTGAGAGGACTGGTGCCCCCGTGATCCCGTCGGGTTGATTGGTGGGGATAGCGTAACGGAATGACCTATCGTCGCCGAGATATTCAGACTAGGGGGAGAAGGCGCTAGTAAGATTCTAAGTGAGTCGAACGCGGATGCACAAGCGGAGAGGTCGAAAGGATCTCTCCGGAGTAATTTGTGTTGTTGGTTTGAAATATGACCAGGGACAGAGGGCGTAGCTCAGCATGGCCAGGTGCATAACCTAGGGGTAGCGAACCGAGGGGAATGCTCCTGCATTCCCCAAAATGGGGGAAAAGGAGTTATTTCGACAATCGAAGTGACGACTTTATTGTTTCCAGTGTCCCGAGTGGAAATTTTGGTCAGATCTTGATAAGACACTGATCAAGTTATGATATCAGATTCTGATCAGGTTGGTAACGCTATAATTTTTGGATTTTCCACTAGGGGTTATCCAGTCTCTGCGGAACGATTAAGAAGCATATGGGTCCGTGGGCCTGGAGTAGAGTAATCCTCCTGTCGGCACGACCCTACGTCGACAATCTAGTACTACCCGGAGGCGGTGACTCGCGATGATCGAAGCGGTAACTGGTGGTCGAGAGTGTGGGTGGTCTTAAGGTGGGTAACATATTTCCACTTTGGTCGGATCAGTCTCTCGACGTCCCAGACTCTAAGGAATCTCAGCTGATTTGCAAATAACCGTGAAACTCCCCCGAGTAGAAATACTCGAGAGGAGAAAGCATGCTGGAGGAATCGAAAGATCCTCCAGAACGGCTGTGAATAAAATTCAATCGGATAATTAGGCCGCAAGACATAATACACGGCCTGAAATAGAGGCTGGTGATGATGTAATGAACATACTCCTGGTGGACCTCACCCACTCTACCGTGTCACACTGATGCTAGCTGGGCAAACCACTGTCCAGCCACAAAGGTCCTCTGGAAGACGAGATTGCCTCAGAGGCCGGTTTTCGTCGAACTTTCCGTTAAGGTTTGACTGGCGCTCAACACATGAGCGATAGAGAAGGCTTAAAATTAGTTTAAATTTTTCCTGGATGAACAACCCAGGAAAATATCCGTACAATAGATTGAACTAGATACCGATGTCCAATGGTCGCGGTGGCTAAATCGTTAATTCACCTTGGCCTCTAGGAGGTCGTGGGTTCGAATCCCAGTCCGGTCGGGTTTTTTAACTTCTGGAAACAGGGGTTGGGGGCTCGAAAGGGTAGCTGGGCTTCGGATCCCGACTGGGGGGGACCCTTGACTTCCGGTAAGGGGGGTTAAGGGGCTCGCCTGGGGCGGATTCTGGTGGGGTCCGTCTTACATCGACTCTGGACGAGCGGGAGGTTCCTAAGAGAGGAATCGACTGTACCGCCGGAGGTTTTCTGTGGTTTCCTCCATCTCTCGCGGGAGCAAATGTGGTATAGTGTAGCAAGTCAGCCACAGCCGCAAAGCTTAGGTAGAGGGTAGATGGCGGAGTAAACCAAAGGGTTTAAAATGCCTTAAATAAAAAAAAAAGATTCAACTAGAAATTTTTGCTAGATTTGATAAGAAAGTTATTTGAAAAAAATTATACGGGAAATTATGAGTTTATGGGCAAATCCTATCCATTGTGGCTCGCATGTGGCAATTACGTCTTCACCGTTAGTGGCGTGCAATTCGAATACCAATATAATCACTGCAACATTATAGGAGAGATATGCGACACAACTTGGAACTGTGAGTGAGAGAAAACAATCCGCAGGCTTACCTACTCGAAGTAAGTACAAGAATAATCCACCTGGCAGTGTCTTCCGATGTATTATAATATTGTTTCAATAAACAAAAACATATCAAATACGAATAACTTGATATTCGTAAGAAAGAAGAAAAAATCCATCAATCTGACAAAAAAATAATATTCAAAAAATGTTTATATTCATACTGAAATAGTTAGTTGAAAACTTTCGTATCCAGGTATTACATCAGGAAAAATACAGAGGAAACGCCTTAAATGGGTGAAGCAATGTAAGTCAATTAGGTAAGGTAGTTAGTCAGAGTTATTGCGATACGTATTTCTGAATTTTCACTGAAACACTTGGTTTCGGAAATGTTCTTTGAGTTACGTAGATTGCTTTAGGAGCCGCGATATATAAAAATGTTACCTAGTCTTCTATCAGCTTCACAACAGAATTTAATAATTGTGTCTTTGGCCTCTTCACTTATGGGCACTTCCGGTGGAAATATTAGAGTTTCCCTCCAATTCATCACCTTCCTGTATGTCTCTTGAGGATTTTCACTACAAAATGGAGGATAACCTGAGAACAGAATTGAAGAGTTAATGAGGACAAACGCATTAAGATAGATGAATTTCAGAAAATGCAAAAAACTCATTCAAACAAATGAAAAAATTTCACTTTTTTCAATGAATATCTCGTGCATAGAGAGGGGTCTACGGACAGGACCGGGGACTGCATTTTTCCGAGTATGAAGGGTACGCGTTAAGTGGAGGGAGGAGAGTGTCATCAGTTGTAGTTCTCAAGCATTAGATGTTTGTAAGCGTGAATGGAATGGACAGGAAGATTAGATGTAAGGATCGCAAGAGTTACAAGAGTGAGAGGCGGCAACACTTTAGAAAGATGCGAAAATGAGACAATGAGGGATAAGCGTAAATGTCGAACAATATGGATCAAACCATATGGGTTTCATCGTTTCATCTGCCTTGAAAATGCAAATGCATTGGTCCTCACCCAATTTTTCTAAATAAATTCATTAATAATTTGATCAGGATTGGATACTTCAGCTATTTCGCTGTTTATATGCAATATTGAAATAGCATCACGTTTGAGTAGAGTCAGTGATAATTTTGAGTAAATTTTCGATCTTCTTAGTATTGAAGATAAATTTCCAGCAGTGCAAGTAGAGTGGGATACTCAGTACAAATAGAGTGGGGTACTCCCAAATCAATCTCGATCGGGATGCTTCTGACTATGAGACTTTACCGTTAGACATGATCGCGGCTCGACTTTCAGCGCGGTATGTTAAAATCAAATTTTTCAAGGATGTTTATGCAAAATCGCAAGTATTAACAAAAATTGTTTTTTTTTCAACTAAGAGATGAAGTTGTTCCCTTTATCTTGATAAAAATTTCAATCCACCGACCCACGTTTATTATTTATAAATGGAGTGGACAAAATGCACCAAACGCACGCGCTAACATGCTCTTATACGGGATAGAATCTTTCAAATATGTTCTCTTTTTGCGCGGGTACCCCAAATTTTTCTCTGACCATTCGATTCAGTATTGCACATTACTTTCTATTTTTATTTCTATTTTTAGAGTCTTCTAGTAGGTGAATTATAAATTTCAAACATAAATCTCATAAAAGACCGTATATAAAGAAAAATTTGTTCATTTATTTCCGGCGAGTCTATTGCGATAAATTTTTTTTTACATCAAACAAATTAGTTTCATATGTTCTGCTGTCAGCCAAAAAAGTTATAAAATGTTCCTTGAACATGGTTTTGATTTGCTGAAAACGGCTAGAGATCCTTAAATATCAACTTCCAATTTTTGAGTGGTAGGAAAAGGTGTAGTGGGCCACTTCCCTTCTCTAAGCAGTCTTACTATCAGTCTTAGCGCGAATGTGGCACAGTTACGAAAAAAGGCGGTCCCATCGCACCGCAAGGAGCGAGGAGCAAACTCGATCGAAAAGAACAAACCGATTAGGTGGAATTCCATACAAAAGGCAAAAATTTTCCTTTCCGGAGTAGTTGTTTGATAATTTCCCACCAGAGAGATATCATCGCCCCTATCTAAGAACATTTATTAAGAAATTTTTACATAATCCTTGTAATTTTCTATGAGACGGTATTCTGAATAATTTGCCTTCAACATCTTCCTTTCCAAGATATTACAACAAAACACGTATGCAAATTTCACACAGATTTCAACATATTACCTATCAACATTTCATACATGATGACACCCAGGGACCAACAATCGCAAGCTGGACCGTAACCAGTCTGCAGGAAGACTTCAGGTGCTATGTAATCAGGTGTACCCACTGTACTGTATGCTAGAGCTCTCCGATTCCTTTTCCAGCTTTCAGCTCTTCTTTTACTATCCATTGCACTCCCACTTCCACTGCCACAAGAGGTCACTAAATCAATGAAAACTAATCGTTAGTGAATTGAATAGAAGTAAATGAATAAATAATCAATAAAAGGGGTCGAAAACTTACTGAAGTCCGATGGTTTAGCTTGGCTGAGATCCCTGTAAAAATCAGTTCTGTGCGACTTTTTCAGGCCAGTGCATAAGCCAAAATCAGATAACTTTATGTGGCCTCGTGCGTCAAGCAACAGGTTGTCAGGTTTAATATCTCTGCAAAACCAGAAACAGATTATCAATGGGTTATATTCGTCTGAAATTTGTTCTTACTTTCTTTCATTAAGTAACGAATTTTTCTCGACTTCGTTTGTCGATTTTAACGAGGATTGATATTGTGCGGACTTTTTGACATCAGGAGTGGGAACAGAATATACCTCAGAAACCCTGCAAGCGCACGAATCAGCTAAAATAATTTTGAAACAAAATAAACCACGAAAGACACCCACGTTACTACGCTGAACGCGGAAACGATGAACTGGGCGCTAGTCCATTTTAACCAACAAGTGAACAAGGAAAATTACTAAAATGAGGAACCAAAACGTAACCTGATGTATGCCGACTAGGCCAGAAAGAGCGCCAGAGGCGTATTGCATTCATTTGAAAAATTGTGACTTCAGTTAACATAAAACTGAGTTATATTTTCCAACAAAAAGTTATAAATGAAATTGATCATAATACAAATGAGAAAATGAAACTCACAGAAGAAAATTATTCTTTCTGCAATACAGAATAAGATGCTAGTGTGAAGGGATTTTTCTGTTTAACAAGAGAGGAAGTATTTTGGCTACTCCTCAACTATTTAAATTAGACACATAAAATTTTCGCAATACAACTGGATAGTTTTTGTAATTAAATGAAATCCGAGGGGAAATAAGTCTTTTGAGAACCAAATTTAATTTCGGGAGATGCCCTGGGATTGATAGATACGCAAAGCCATTTAATGGCGCTAATGTTGGAATATTACTTCTTTTAAGAGATTGGCCTCAATAATTACACATTAGATCACTATGACCGTTGAATTTTAAAAATTTATGTTGAATAATTGTATCATTTTCAACTGATAGAGGTTTTCAATTACGCTTGAACGATAATCTGTCACACACATAACACAACAAACCAAAGTCATTATTTACAAAATCTCATTGTAAAATATTATGCGCAGGCTTAAAACTCTGGATATTATAAATTGTCATCAGCATGTTCTCCAGAATCATCAGGAGATTGAGCTTGTTGATGGTTGACCCGCACTACCCACTAGAGGTGTAAGTAAGAGATTAGCAGCTACTTTACTCCTCTCCCTACCGTCTCATTAACAGTAGACTTTTTTAAAATTTAATCTGTCCCTCGCTCGCTATTTTCTTTCATGCCATGCTTTCACACTTTTTATCGCCTATTGCAGCATATTTCACAAAAAATTATTAAATGCAAGAAGCTATAAATATACGATACACGTGAGCACTACGTAATAACTGAATAGAATATACAAATTGCGTTAGATGTTGATCAGAAATATTCAACAGCTAACACTCAGCTACATGGAAACAGCTGTGTTTGGTTTCCGTCACGTCGGCTGAACACAAAAGTTGTTACTATAGAGGGAAACGGAGCCAGCGACATTCCGTACGCCTCACTCCCTATAGCTAAGTCTCCATATCAAAGCCCCGCTCATTTCCGTAACAGAATACGTTGCCGATCGCGCCTTCCTACTCTTCTATAAGAAGTTTCACTTCAAAAATAATTTTATAACAAATAAGGTGGTGAGAAACAAGAAAGAATATGAGAATTGTGATGTGGTTTTTCCAAATATGAACAACATAAGGTTGCGTGTTGAATAACGATGGTCAATATACTTTGAACACCGTTAACGAATTATTATGATTGGAACTGAATTTTCAGTGCTTAGTCTTCAAGGTCTTACATCAGTTCGGGCGCCATTTGTAACATTGAAATGAAATCGCAATGATATTCTCAGTATTCTACTACATTCGAGCCTTGTCATCAAGATAATAATAAAAAATGTCGCGCGAGCCACAATAGATTAATTTCTTGAATTTATTTCGTAGCGTCCAGAATATTCCAAACGTCGGAATTCGAGACAAACATCATTCTGTCCTTGTCCCTCACGAAATTTCAGGACAATTCTCGAACCTTCGATAAACGAAGGTATATAAACTCGTACGCTCCCCGGTGGATGACGTCAGTCTACTTTTTAGTACGCATGTAAACACTTGCCTTTAAATATACAGTTCTTGTCAACACCGAGTTATTATTTTTGATACCCGCACCAAACCGCCACAAAAAATACTCAAAATCATAATCAAAATAATAATATGGATCTAAAGTTGATATTATATTATGTACGGTAATTAAATTGAATGGAAAATTCTGTAATGCTAAATATTCGGGTACTGCTAAATTATGTTATTTAAATTCCGGTCAATTTTCACTTATAACAATAACTCTCGAGCGCCATGTGACTTCATCTCCCATTAGCTATTTCAAATCATAAAGAATAGAAATAATTACCTGGGCTTCGTCCGCAATAATTATTTTCAATTAATTCTGATTTTGTTCGGGTCGTTATTCAAGTATCTCAGTAATTACTAAAAATCTCCTGGTTCTTGAAAGAAAGATTAATAGCAGAAGAGCAAAATAAAAAGGAATGAAATAACAAACTGATTGTATCTCAAAAAGATCTAAGTACAACAAAATAATGGAAATAATTTACAGAAATCCGGGTAATTGATTGAAAAGGAGTTCAATTCAAATTTAAGAAAAACAAAAGAAAAGAATTTATTCAAGAAGTTTGCTATATAGAAACTCTCTTTCTAAATTTACACAATCATGTGATAATCCACATCTGGATTATCACCATCCATCCACTCGTCGAACTCAATACAACTTTTAACACGGAAAATTGCGGGAGTTTTTAACTATATTTTCATAAAATAAAAATATTCCTCAGTTCCGGATATGCTATCCTCAATTTTTGCTATGAGCAGAACTCAGATTCGCTAATATTCGTCATGATAATTTCGGATTCGAGCAAGTGGAAGTTTATACTGATTGATTCATGATTCGGAATATAGATGATTTCCGTACAAAATAATTCTCTTTGCTCAATAATTTGCTTCAATCGAATTCGTCCGATCGATTATAGTTAAATTTAATTAGAACTTGAATGACTTCGTGGAATTCTCGCGAATTATGATAATCACCGATGACACAATTAACAAAACTCCGAAAATCTCAAATATTAATTATTCCAAAATTTCCGAGGCTTCACAAAAATATTCGCGTGAATTAATATCAATTATCGCACCGAGAAAGATACCTGAATAATTCCCCCAATACTCGAAATCCCCACGCAGGTAATTACTGAATTCGTACTTACAATACACGTGCTTCGCTCGCCTGTTGAAAATCACAGAATATCGCCCTATTTCGCTCGCTCTGGACTTATCGCCAATTTCTCCTTGCCGAAGGAAATATCCAGGACTACTGTCCTATCTCGTAGGAGAAAACTCGCACTTTAATCATTCTCTTCATTAATACTGTTGCGTATTTACCCTTTTTCTCCCTCAACCAACTTCATGTACGATCGTCTCTTTGTCGATCATCATTCTTTTATCTTAGCTCTTAGTCCGCGGACGTGTCATTTCTTTTTGTATCTTTTATTAATTATTCTTTTCGCCCCATTTTATTTAATAAACGAATTTATTATTAAAACGGTGTCGTATTTTACATTGGTGTCAGAAGTATCGCGAAAAATGGATACCCCCCGTGACAGGCATCGTTTTCGCACTTCTCACCGGAATTCAAACTCCACATTCATGGATGCTGAGGACATCACAGAGATACAACTCGGTATCCAGGAAGCAGTTCGGTTAGCGGTGGGAGACCTGCAGCTCCAGTTGTCCGAATTTCTGGATCAATATCGACAACACATGAAGATGGAATTGCAAACGGACACGAAGAATTTGGTGGACAACTCCAGTCAGGCGAATAACCATCAAATAATGGATTATTTGACCAAAAATTCTTCGGACGTGATGGCACATCTGTCAACGACGCTTCAGAATCAATTCCAATCTGCAGTTACTCAAGCCATTGAGAATGCGGTGAAGAGAGAGGTTCAAAACATGAGGAATGAAATCATGGAAGTTTTAACAGATAAGTCGATTTCACCTCGTCCTAACACACCATTCTTGCAACATTCAAACACATTCAACCAAAATTCTAATCAACTTCGCACTACATTCACAAATCCTCCTCAAAACCCTCACTTCGTTCCTTCCACACCGAAACAGAACTTAATTAAACTACCTCACTATGATGGTACAACACTGGTCGCAATATGAGCGACTTTTTCATGTCATTGCTTGTGAGAATGGATGGTCAGGTAGAATTGCTGCCTCATATCTACGTTCTTCCCTTCGCGGTAAATCTCAATCAATTGTTGAGACACTTCCGGTTTCCGACTAAACGGACATTCATAAATTAAAAGATGTCCTTAATTCTCGATTCGGGGAGCAGCAGTTCTACCGCGTATATCATTCACAATTACGCGCTCGGATTCAACAAAAAAATGAGGATTTAAAAACTTACGCGGAAGACGTTAAAAAATGAACACGTCTTGCTTATTTTGCCGCTTCCGAAATAATTAAAAATGAAATCGCGTGCGAAAAATTTATCAACGGGCTTAATATTGGTCGAATTGAGAGTGCTCTACGCCTAGAACACTTTGAAAGTTTGAATTTAACTCTTCAACGGGCATTGGAAATGTGCACAATATCATCAGTAAAAAACAAAATCAACATCCCAATCCGAATAATCAATCACTCAATACTTCTTACAGATCATGTGATAATTCTGATCAATTTAATTCAAATAATCACCGGAAAGTCATTTGTACTATTTGCGAAAATCGCAGACATTACGCGAATGAATGCCGTAAGGATCGTTATTCGAATTCGAGTTCAAATACAAATTTGAATAAAAACTTTAATCAAATCTCCTCTTCAAACTATTCCAACCAAAATCGTAATTTTAACCAAAGATCTAACCCAAAGGTGAATTATGGAAATCACAACAACCAAAATCAACGCTCGACAACTAATTCACAAAACCAAAATGGGAATCAACACGGAAATGGGCGTACGAATTGCTTCTTTGCTCAAGATCGTAGCGGAACCAACTCATCCGTTCCCTCT